GGCACGATACTAGCCACTCTGTCACTACCTCGCATCAATCTTGACAGTTTATAAAGTCCATTGTTTCGGTCCGGAGCAGGTGGGAAGGGAGTGAATCATTCAATATATGCGAGGAGGAGGAATGTTGACAGTGGGTGGAAAGAGCAATTGTAAAGACTTTGGGGGCAAGGAGAATATAACTCGAACTTGACCCACACTGAAACCTAATGAGTCAGTGAGCAGCATAACAATCAGATGGCCGGCACCGAATCACACACCTTTGAGATCATTTGTAACCGAGTCTTCGCAATAGCTAGAAGACGATAATGTGGGATGCAAATATCACAAAATGTCAAGAATTACTTGAATATACAAGAAGTATATCTATCTAAATACGAATTCAATCAAAAATCATTACAATCATTCAGAACAGTGGGACGCCCCACCCAATCCCAGCAGCCACCAGTGCTTAGCACACACGCCCGGCACATGTCAGTGAATGCTGATGTGGCTCGAACATGTGCGGAGGACACTGGAGAGTGCCAGAAGAGTGGAAAGAGGGCCGAGACAGGAAGCACGAGATGGAGGGTAGGATGTAGTGTAGGGCACGAGTGGTGGTCATAGTAGCATGCTGCAAGGTTAAAGATAGTAGTAAACAAGAAAAAAAAACATGTGCACCTACTACTGACTAGAACAAGCGGTGAACAACTGAGTAAAATTTCATTGAAGTTCATCATTTGCACATATTTGTTTCGCTCACGTGACTGTTTGTTGATACGAACCATTTGCGTGTATTTGTTTGGCTCACATGACTTTGGTTTGGAAACTTTTTGAACTTCCAATGTCGATCCCTCATGCCTCAACATTCAATGTCATCAGCCTCAATCATCAAGCTGATAGGTATGTCTTAGGTTTTTAAAAAGTTCTATCTAACATTTGCAACTACAAAATAGGTATCAAGTTCATATCAACTTTGTTTGGATCTGTTTGAAGTGAGTGTGTCGGTCCTTGTTCCAGCCAGAGCCATGCTGATCCAAGTCGTTGTCTGCCGTTCGTAGGTAGTGAGTGCATTGATCGTCATTCGAGCAACCACCCAACTGCCACGCTGATCCAACTCATTGTCTGCCATTCACAGCAGGTGAGTGTGTTGATTCTCCTTCGAGCTCGAACCATGCTGATTGTTGTTGTTGTCCGCCATTCACAGCGTGTTGATCCTCCTTCCAGGGGTCACTGTATGTCCTTTCTATAAATCCACTTGTGCGTCTTACTAATGTAGCTTTATTAGCTTATGCTCATCCACACATTCACACCTGTATGTGCTTGTCCACACTCATTCTTGCTGCAACAGGTACGGCTTTGCTTTATCTAAGCCAGGGATTAGGTATTTGCGGTCAATTGTAGCTATACAGTAATTACTTTTGTGTCTATATTCTACAACTGTCCATGTCAGTCATTACTAGCTGTGTTGCTACTTTACATACCATTTTCTAAATAAAAAAACTAATTCTTTTGTGTAATGTTGTCTGATGGTGTTTAGATTTGTGAATGATGCTCTTCTAAGTTTGAATGGATGGTCTCTCAAATGCATGACAAATTTGTCAAATAACTAATGATTGTAACCAATTCTGTCAAAGTTATTTGGGGTAACATAATCCATACAATCCTTCTAACCAGACATTGTTTTGAGAAATTATGAGAAATTAGCGAATAATTTTTGATAGTCATGTATATTTAGCCCAGGAGGGTTTTGCTGATGCAGTCTCTGTACTAATATCAACATCCACACTCTATGCTGCATCAAGGCCTACTACAGTGCCGCGTCAACCATAGCACATACCGTGTCAGTTGCCACATCAAACCTCCTCCATGCCGCATCAGTGCCGCATCACAGGCACGTCACACCGTGTCAAACCTCATCACTGCCGCGTCACCCGCATGTCACGCCGCGTCAAACCTCACCACCTCCACATGCCACGTCAAACTTCACCACCTCAACTGTCACACTGTCCGTATAACTTAGGTATATTTTACTTTACATCTGTCATAATAATTGATATTCTAACAGTGTTCCTTTTCATCCTGACAGAATTAGATGTCGTACACTGTAATTGTCCATAGGCAGTAATAAATTTATTTTACTAAGCATTCTTTCGTTGTCTCCTCTGGGCTCGAGAAACAACCCTTATTATCGCGCTTTTGTGAATCATATCATGGCCTTTGTGAGTTCTTTAAAATACGGAGTAAACTTGTTATAATCATCTTTTAGCAATTAATCAAACATATATTCAACTTTTTCTATCCCAACGAGACAGAGAATAAAAATGATCCAGATCAGCCAGGTCCACTCTGAGTTTTGGGGACCTCATACCCTGCTATGACCGTTCAGGTGCGTCATCCGACATATTCTCCTTGTGAACTCAAATTTGACAAATAGAACAGGCAATGTAATAGCTTATCTTCCGGCCTCCGTGTAGACCGCTGTAGAAACAACAATACAGAGAGGAACAATGATGCTCCAAACTGTATCTAAAAAATGTTGTAGGTCGTGCATTGCCTAGTCTGCATTACTTGAGGAGACAAGCGCGTTCGACCCTAGGGGAAGCGAGTGCAGCAAGGATCTAGAAGTGTGCGCTGAAGCGAAGTGCGAGAAAGCGTGCGTGCGGAAATGGTAGAGAGACTAAGCTTAAGTGATAATATAATACAAGCTAAGTGAAGAGAGATGCAAAGTGCAGACAAATAGATTTCTACTATGTTCTTCTAGGTAGATAGTGGGTGGAAAGTATAGTAAGGTAAAGGGAAAGTTAGTTGAAAAGTAGTCAGTAATAGTATGTACTGCTGGCACTTATATAGCGCGCCTAAGCGCGGTCATGCGGAGCTGAAGCGCTACCGAGTAGGTATGTAAAGATATATATGGGTGAGAGTCCATGATAAAAATAAAGGTGGAACACTATGCTAATAAAGGAAATGGAAATATACACACTAGGGAGCTTGGTGGATGGTGGATGGATGCATCTGGATGGCTGGTGCTATAGGGCGCGCAAGCGTGGGAACGCGCGCGCGCGTATACATCGCGAAGCACAGGGAATGGTGCGCGCATGGCGCGCATTGCGTGGGAAAGCTGCGCCTCATATAGGAATTGCTGTGGACAGTACACAGAGTGGTGCTGCGAGTTGGTGCTGTATACTCCCTTAGTGGAAACTGCCATATCACGCCATGAGAGGCATGATTCTCTACACCGCTCAGCCATCACATGACCCTGCACACTCCATCCCAAATCCACCACCCCTCCCTCAACACATGAAACACCACTCACAGGAGTTATTCGAACTCTGCATGGACACAAAGTCTATACCACACCGGCGTGCCTGAAGTGTTAGTCCTTCTGCAGCCCAAACAAATCAATGCCGTGGTCCGGATCAATCTTCCAATTCCCTACGTCCCAAATCTGGTGGTGGAGATGAGTTATGGGACCCATGGCCGGACGGTGACTTTGAAAGGTTATTAACATGGGAGGAGGTATTAAGAACTGATAATCTTAGTGAACATTAGGCTTGTCAGCCAGGAGGAGGAGACAAGAGGGGATCAGAGTCAGCACTTGTGTGGTCGCAAGGTAAAAAGATGAGACATGTTTGCCTGGGTGTCATTACTTGTGATGAACCTACCTGTGAGGTAGTCGCACGTCCGCAGACCCGCCGGGCTGGTATCATGGGTTATTCAGTGATAACTCTGATGCTACATCTTTGGAGTCTGCAGACGAGCTATCTGAAGCTGTAGTTCCTTCTCTGCCAGCCGAAGAATGTCTGCCCATTAAACGTCGATGTGCTCCACAGGCTCGAAGGGTCCAGAGAGGGAGGAAAAGAAAATAGTCATTGGCTTATGTATACCTAGTTGTACATGGCTCTGAAGGCAACTAAAATAACAAAAGAATGGTCGTGAACTCATCCAACTTGATCTGGAAGTTGAATGTAGAATATAGGAATGGCGTGTCAGTGGCCGCATCAAGGATCGTTAGTGCCGCGTCAAGGCTCGTCAGTGCTGCGTCACATGCGCGTCATGCCACGTCACAACAGCAGCAGGCGCAGCAGAACCATGTCAAAATAACTACGCCCCAAGCCACATATACGGCCGCGCCCAAACCTCACAATAGGTTCTTGTGCCGAGAGGAGCTGAGCAGATGAGAAGAGAGCTAGTGGACAATATAAATCTCAGTCAGTTCAAAGGGACTGTGATTAGATAGGTACCTAGTGGACAATATAACTAACGTCGCTATCAGCATTGGTGGGATAAGGTATAACAATCTCGGTACTCACATCTCAGTCAGTTCAAAGGGACTGAGATGTGAGTACGTGCGGGAGGCAGTTTTTAACATATGGGTGGAATAGGAATAAAAGTTGTTATGATTCTAAGACTACTTGCCTCGGCCGAGTGAGCTTGACAGCGCTCGTACCTTGCATTCTGTTCTGTCCTCAAGTCTCCAATCCGTCACCCGTTTCCTCTCTGTCCAACATAGGTTGCATTACAGATCAGATGGTTGGTTGAAGACTTGAGCTTGAACTCCTTACCTTTCACCGCATCCAGATACTGCACGGACAACAGGTCATCACAATGTTACCAACAAACTACCAGCAATGAATGCACTGACAAGTTCACGAAGGAAACCACTGAACGCAATGATGCACTCCGCTTAACCTACGCAAACGTATGCTGGGCCAAGGGAAGAAGTTGTGGCATATGCATCAGCAAATCACTGAACCCTTGTACAAGCTTGTACAAGCAACACAATTTCACAACAAAGTCCCTCCTATACAAGCTTGTCACAAAGCCTTACAGCCTGTACAAACGGTCACAATCTTGACACATTGGACATACTATACAGACTAGACACATTGCACAGTTGAGACATATAGATCCAATTCAGTAGTACTACACAGACAATACATGACAGACACAATGTGCAGGCCTAGTAAGGTGCTGCAGCCATTCTATTCAAAAAATGTGACACTGATGACGACAAAAAACTACTATAAAATGATGTTGATATCGTTGCTGCCTGCCGCACTGTCAGAATCGTCCTGAAGCTCACCCATCATCCCCACATCAGCCCATTCCTCTAGCATACTTTCCACTTCCTGACGACGCTTGGGATTCGTCATCAGTGTGTCAACTGACTTTCATAGGCCGTCAAAGTCAGACCTGCATTTGTCAGCGGACAGGTCGGGGACTTTGTCGGTGCCAGTGTCGCGGAACCCAGTTAGAATACCCTTCGCCTGTCAAACACATCAGCAATAGCATTAAGAATAATTTTTAAAAAAACATACGACCACGCTGACGAGAATGAGTGCATTGACGGGGATCATTTTGCGGAATTCTTCGGTCAATTTGAGGGCCTTTTTGCCATTACCGTAGTAGAAGTCGATACATGCGTCCTTGAGTACTTGCGAAACGAAATTCTTGTACTTGCCCTAAACAAATCAATGCTTCAGTAAGATGCACCGCCCCACAATGTTACTAACTGATGATGAGTCAGGCAATCGAAGATAGTTGCCAGATTTGATCAACTTTGATGCTGCTTCAGCAACATGCCATTGTATGGCGTCCTTCTGCCCCACATTGGCTTTGGGGAAGATACTGTAGAGTTGTTTCACAATAGATATGATGATTTTCTTGAGCTCGGTGCGAAATGTGAATAAGTCGTTGCAAAGCTGGCAATGGATCAGTAAGCGTGTTCATGGTCAGTACTCAGGACTCACGAGGCGTGACATCTGTGTACTGTACTGTGGGAAATAGCCTTGACAAGGGACATCAGATGACAGCAACACTTATGAATTAAAATGTACCGTTTTCCATTTTGATCTTCTTTGAATGGTAACTCCATAAAACTGCATCTAAGACTTCTCACACAAGCAGTAGCGCCTGCTGATGCTCTGGGATAGGATGAGTCAGAACAGCCTGCAAGCACATTTCTAATTTGGCGGCCTGGAGAAATCCTTGCCAACTTGGTGGATAAAACCCGAGTTTCGAGGGATTAGTCTGCTTGTTCATTGGTTTATCTTTGTACCTTGATTCAGGCATGGGACTATGAGTACAGGAGTGAGAATGGCTTGGAACAGGGGTATCAGAACACAAGTGATTGGATCGAGGGGCTCGCCTATGTGGTAGCCGCGACAAGGAATGTCCAGGAGATGATCCACTGGATGCACTCTGATGTGAAGATCTTGAGCGAGTGAAAACAGTTGTTGACTGAGTTGGGGAGAATCGCCGCGGAGACAGTCTGCAGGAAGTGTGATCATGACCCCTGCTTGAACGCGGAGACCTTGAGCGAGTAAAGACAGTTGTTGACTGAGTTGGGGAGCGTCGACGAGATGGTCCACGGGAGGTTGGATCATGACCCCTGCTTGAATGTGGAGACATTGAGTGAGAAAAAACAGTTGTTGACCGAGTTGGGGAGCATCGATGAGGAGATGGTCCACGGGAGGTGAGATCATGACCTCTGCTTGAATGCAGAGACTTTGAGTGAGCAGAGGGAGTAAATGTCGACATCGAACTCACCCATGGGCAGAACCAGCCTTTGCAGATGGCCCTTTTCGAGGTGCACGCTGGGGAGGCTTGAGGTGAGTGGAAGAAGTATGTGTCTCAGGGGACCGACGACGAGGCATCTGTAGCGTAGCAAATCAGAAACAAGCAAATTGAAAAGTAAGAGCTTACATGTTTGTGTGAATATTGGCAAGGAGACTTTGAACGGGTGTTACGTGTCAGAGTGTGGCCACGAGAGTTCTAGAGAAAGTTAGCAAATATGTGATTAGTTTAAGCAATGGCACATGCTTGATAAACGGGTCGTGGAAGGAGCCTTGCGACATTTGTTCTTCACTTGATGATGTTTAAGGACATCATAAGGGATCGTATCTGTACGCTCATCCTTGCGTCCAGGCTTGGTTTCATCAAATTCCATCAGGTCATCACCATCACCACCTGGGAGTGAATCAGTCAAAGCTGGACCATTGTCGTACTCCCTGAAATCATCATCAGCTGCTCATCTTTCATGTTGCGTCTCGTGTTCATCGGCACTCTTCCCCCACTCATCAAAATCATCCAAGTCTCCCAAGCCACTACGATCTTCCAAATCCTCCTCTGCGACTTCGCTACCAGCTACCTCGTGATTATGACCGATGGGATGGGTTGCCTGGGACTGGGATGGCTTGAAACCAAACCTATCTGAAGGGCAGGCTATGTGGAGACGAGCGTGTTCACTCTCTGGCTGTGAAGAATTGGGCTCAACAGAACTCTTTGGAGTGCTGGCCTAACAAATGGTTGTTAGTTGGGTACTTTTCACTGAATTTTTGAAGAACTACTGCAACTTTTTGCTTGCGTCCCTTGAGTTGTGAAGGAGCCATTGGATTTTCTTCGGAGTCGCTGATATTGAGATCATCTGATGCCTTCTTGCGCCTTGTTGGGGCCATTAGAGTTTCGCCAGTTTTTTGAAGTTGGGCAGCATGACCACCGATACCTCGCGTGGACCGCGAGCTTTGTCGAGTAGGATCGACATCTGCCTGTGCCATCTTGGCCCCCTTCCTCGACTTATCACCTGGGGAGCCTTGTCTGGCTCTTTTCCTGGGAGGCATTGAGTGAAGAAACGAAGCTGTAAGGTAGTCAGTTGAGGTAATACTTAAAATGTATTACATAAGCTAATAAGCGCTTGAACCTGTTTTTACAAAGAACAATATTGAGGTCTTAGCTCATGCAGTGATGATGGCATAAAGTATTCTTGTGTTTTGTCTAGGATAAGATAGCTAATAATGAGCCAAAGAAGTGTGCCTGCCCTTCTTGCCTTCCAAGTAATTGACTGCACAGTTAAACATAATGAATGTGCTGTTAATTCTGCTTCTGATTCTTCCATTTACTAGAACGATGAGGCTTACTAGGAAGTTCCTCAGTCATGGAGCCAGCACCTGAGCCAGGAAGTTTGTTTGGGCCAACAGATGGCAATGATAGGAGTGGAGGAAGAATCATTTTGTTCTTCTGCCCAGAGCGACGAGGTCGAAGATGAGTCATAGGGCCAGAAGTGGGGGGAGGAGAAGAGGAATGAAATGATGGTGTCATGGAGCCAGAAGCTGAAGGAGCAACTGCACCCCAGGTAACAGATCACATTGATGGGAGTTCAGGAGGCAGCATTTGCGTTTGCTGCCCCAAACGACGGGGCCAAACACCAGCATCCTGTGTCATAGCTTCAATAGGAGGGGGTGGGAGAGAAGCATGAGGGAGAGAAGTGGGGTGATGAGGATACACAGGGAGAGGAAGAGAAGTAGGAGAAGGAGTGGCGACAGATGTCGCTGGCAAAAATGCAACACTTTGCGATGTTGCAGTACCTGGTGAACTTAGAATTCTCTCCAGACCCTGTTGCATAATCTTGAGGATTTCATTGTGAGACAAGTCACATTCATTGTGTAGCGCGTCCCCAATTGCCTTGCGCCATTCCTCAAGGATGGGGCCACATGCTCGAAAGTATGGTGTCGGTTCGTAGGGCAGATGTTTCTCTGTGAGAAACTCTTTCTTCAATGATCCACTAGTCCCGAGACCATCTCCATCCATCATCAGGTAAGCCTTGCGCCACCTAGGGGCATTGACAGGGTGCACTCCTTCAACCGATGCTTTACCACTGGGTCCTTCGTACATAGTTGTGAATTCAAGGAGGATATAAAAGAGCGACTCTAGGTCGTCAGAGGCTCTGTGGTCGATCATGGATGGACATGGAATGTCTCCCATGAGCTTGAGAAGATGGCAGGATATGTAGGGTACAGTTCCCTTCAAGGTTGACCCATATGAGATATGTATACACGAAGAATGTATTGAAATATAACTTACAGTACCACACGAATTGACTGCTGCATTGTTTTTGAGGAATTTGGCGTGATCAAAGTCGATGAAGTAGCCCTTTCTGTCGTGGATGATTAAATTGTTGGGACTGAGGTCGCCGTGTAGAATGTTTTGCTGGGTGACCATTGCTTTGTGAGCTGGTGGCGGCTATCATTACAAAGACCTTTAACAAACACGAAAGAAACTCACCAACGATAAGATCTCGAAAAATGTTGACTAGCTCAGGTAAGGACTTGAAGGTCATCAGCAGAAGCCCACAAGGGGTCAATAGCATGCGACGATGAACCTTATTAGAGTATATTGGTGATTCCGGAAGGTTTTCACTAATGTGTTCGCAAATCCTCTCTGTGCAGTCTGTTTGTCCGGCATACTGGATGTCCCAATATTTTTCGAGACTGACCACATTTGGAATGCCATTGACTGCACGGAGGAGTGTCACTTCATGATCCAGGTTTTCTGCATCAACCCAACAATCTTTCAATGTGAACTCTGTTCCGTGCCGATCTTGAACCCAATAACAAACGGTCCCATGCAAAAATAGACCACGACTCTTCCATAGAAGGGCCATAATCCAGTACACCTCACTGTCATTGTCCATTACCCAGCCTTTTGTTCCTTCTGGCATGTGATCTATACCCTCAGGAAGATCATTGTGAGGGCCAGTGGAGCAGAGGTCGGTGCAAACGTGAATGGTAGGATCGAACCCAAGGGAAGGTAGGTCTGATAGTGTTATTGCATTTAAGACATCGACGAAACACATGGCATTGGAATTAATTGGGAGGGGTTGGGAGATAATCATTCCAGAGCGGTCCATATAATGAGCACGGAGCTGGAGGTTTGCAATGCTGAAAAAAACGATGAAACGGCGCCACAGCTGTTCTCGCATTATAAGATACCCCTAGGAATATGGGAATATCTTTTCCTTGAACTAATTCTGACTTGGTGATCTCAATGTTAGTGAGAACACCCACCCAGGTCTTTTCGCCTGATTCATTTTTTTTCAGCCTGAAGTCCATGAGGACTAAATCAGGCTTGTGTGAGTCAGTGGTGTCTGGAACAGGTGTGGTGGCGAATTTGGAGGACCAGTACCGTGGTTCTGGGACGACATTGAAGGGAAGGGGGTTCGGTGAGCCTGATTGGGAGGACTCCTCATTGGCCTCGTGGATGATATTGCACATAGCATAGTATATGCTCCACAAGAGGCGCTCCCAACTTTTTTCTTCTGATGTCTTGACAGGATGGTTTGATCTCTTTTGTCCAGCATCGAACGATTGTTGCGACCAGCTGGCATCTGTGTCAAGTATTGAATCTTCATCCATCTCCTCCAGGTCTGTGTCAATCTCATCATTCCCCAACTCCCGCTGCCGCCTTAACTTCTTCACAGGATCTGAAAAGGCACCATCGAGCCTCCACTGTAGACCATCCGCAGTTTCTGTAATAAAGATGCTCCCTGTAAGAGCGCTTGACCTTTTCTTTTGATGTATCTGATGCCTAAGATATCTTCAGTTGTGAGGCCTGATCCCAGAATAAGGATATCCAGGATGGATGATTTCCTGCCATTTATCCCCTCCTCCCATAAGACTCGTCTGCCTCCTGCAAGCGTGCCATCCCTACCCATAGGTAAGAGTTCATTTTTCATCAGTAAATCCATATCTTCCTTCAAATGAGGTAAAAAATCGCCACCAGCAGGGATGGAGCTTGTAACTGTTGCCAGCAGATAATGATTGGTGAAAGACAGTGTCGTTGACATGTTGTACACAGCAATGTTGTGCTTGGACCTTGCACAATGCACAATGCCAACACAATGCACAATGATCCACGCTCATTCGTGCGATAGGCTTCTAAATTTATCCCTTAATGGAGCCAAAATATTCTCGAACCAACTGAATGATTGTTCAATGAGCAAATATTGTGAGTACTAATGCTATTATCGTGAAGCATAGTAAATGGCATCGTAGATCTCTTTATCGAAGTATTTATTCAGAAAAAACAAGTGGGAGTAATGTGAAGACGTTGCTTTCATTAATTGCGCATCTGCCACATCACCAAGTCGAGGGATAACACTGATGAATGCACGAAGTTGATTCAACGGAATGAAATTACCAACAGGAGAGCCATCAGCATGCTTCGCACCTTTCAGTGTATGCATCCCAGTGGCTGGATCAATTGGCCCAATACTCAAACACTGTACATAGCAGAGATATTGATCTCGCCATTTAATGTGAGAACCCCACCGAGCGATTGGACATACAATAACACATAACTCACAGATTGCGTGACCTTTGAAGGGTGCATCAATTTTGTATAGGTGAATAAATATATGCAATGAGAATGTGCTTACCTGTTAGGCCTGATTTGGGCCATTCAGCGGCTCCGTCTATATTAACCAGGACAAAATTCTGTCGGCCTTTGGGCCATCCAGGGCCCGAAGGAGAGGCATGTACAGTCTGTGCTGGTAATACGATGCTAGAATCGTGAAAGGATGTTTGCTGTAGACGAACCGAATGCCAGACTTGAACACGATCGAATGGAATGATTGGAGGATGATCAATCAACAGTCTCCTTCTTGAAGCGACCTCCATGAACTATTCCTCTCCCCCTTGCGTCACGCTGCAAGAAATCTGAAAGCGCAAAGTGCAGATCCGGTATATTGTAGTCAACAGAAATGTCCCCAACTTTGACTCCGTTACGGGATGGATCATAGTTGAGATGGATATCAGTGGTACCACCTATAAATGTTCGAGGGGGGTAAGCAAGTTGTCTGTGGCTGAGGGTATCAAATTGTGTGGCTTTGCTAAAATAATTTGTAGTAATGCGTGTTTGATTCATCTCCTCGAGGAGGGCAGTCCGTGGATCAGATAGCTCCCATTCATCATCATGATCAATATTGTCTTCTTCCCCTTCATTCTCCTCAGCAACGTCTACAGGATTGTAGCTTTTGAGAGTTGTAGCGATCACAAAATGTCGCAGTTTCTCCTGACGATCCAGATAGCAACATATCTGTGGGTCGTAATTGTTATTGTTTGTGTGTCACGCAGGGTCCTTAATTTCAGACACATGGGCATGTTCAGTTGCATCTGCAGACCACTGGATGAGGGCACCAACTTTGCGCGTACTGGATGTGATGCTCTGCAGGAGCTCCAACTTAGGGATGAACCAATTGTCGATCGGCTTCTTTGCTCCCATCCGTGCACCTAATGTCATGATAACATTCTTGTTTTCATGAAACATCAAAAGGGATTGGTCGATAGACGACAGTAAGTTGTTGTCAGGTGCAGGGCACTGTGCCAAGTACTGGACATCCATGAGGGCGCATATTGCAATCATGAAGTGACGAGGAGCTACACCAGATATCAGGCCAACAATGTAGCACTGAATGTCGCGATGAACTCTGCCTGTGACCTGCTTGAGTTTTGAAATTCCACCTGCAAAGTGGTGATATCCTGTGATGGGCTGTAATATAGAGAACCTGAAATCTAGCTCCTGGGCGCCAACAACCTTGAGACACCACTGAAGGTCGTGGTCATAAAATTCCTTGTGCCAGTGATGTAGTGGTTCTGGCGTCAGGAAGATGGAGGGATCAGCATGGGGGTAGCCCTTCCAGAAAGGTGCATGAACACCATTTAGCCGGTGTTCAGCGCATGCCTCGAAATATGCCTCGAGATCATTGGGATCAACTGTGATACTGGCAAGCTGAGCGAGAGTTATCGCACACGTACGAGCAGGGTGCTGGAAATGATCCCCAAACTGTAGATACGAAGCCATGGTGAAAGGAGATGTCTTCCCTCGCATGCATGCAAGCATGGCTGCCTCTGGGGTATCGACGATGTACACTGCAAGAGGCGTCAAACAGTGTCGAACATTTCCCACCGGATCGGACATCATGATGTCAACTTCTGCTGCTATCATCAAGGGCTTTAGGACAATCGAAAGGCACTCATGCACCACGCGGTCTTCAAGCATGCCACACATCCGTTGATTGGGGTGTAGGTACTTCGGAATGGGGAGGAGAGCCATGAGCATGAATGCTTTGGATGAGAGTTTTGTACGAGTACGCATACATATGTTGGTGAGGCCGAGAAGAAGTGGATGGGCGATCCTGGCACCAGTCATGGTAGTGATATTTGTTTTATCAGAAGATAAAACAGCACCAAGGATCGTAGCACCTATAGGATATTGGCTCTGCAGGAATGATAATAAGACAGCGCAAAATGAGTAGACTGAACCCGCACATACCTGCATGTCCCAAGCAGAATTACCTGTCAACCATTCAGAATATACCCTCAGAAGCCGTGCTGCCGTTTTGTACACACGATGAGGGACGAAATCGAGCTTACCATGAAACAGAGGATTTCTGAAAAGGCTTTCCAGGCATTCAACAGGATCTCTCCAGAATCAGCGGATAGGAAGTTTTGTAGAATAAATTGAGGGAATGGTCTGGCATTTCCAGCTTGGTCCGCTGGGGAGCATCTCGGCACGACTATGCAATTCTCTAGCGTTGCTGAATGATAGCTGTAAATTTTGGATCTGAAAGATAAGTTATAGTCACTGTGTCAGAGTACAAATACATACCATGTGAAGCTTCAAAAATTCATCAATTGCTGCCATACTCAGGGTCGAGCGAAGGAGATAGTCAGCAACTTCCCATTCCTCCTTGGATGCAAAAGGGTAGAAGAGATTGTCCTTCCTGTACTCCGCAAATTCATCGGCATCGAATACATCCAAAAAGGTCAAGCCATCTTCCGAATAACAAGCCCCGGCACCCTCATACTTCTCCTCCAAAGACTCCCTGGCCACTCCAAAATCATCGTCAAGTTAACCAAAGTCATCGCTGATGTTCGAAAAGTCATTAAATTGTTGTTGATCCTCGACGCGAGTATCTGGGTCAGGTTCTGGAGCTGAAGGTGAAGGTGAGACATTGCGCCGTGGTAGTTGCACCTGTGTAAACTGAGAGATATCGATTATGTCACACATGTAGCTGTGGCATGATGTTCGGGGCTGACTGAGATGTCGAGTAACACTGCTTTCCTTGGTAAATGTTTTCCCACACTTTGGACATGTTGACATCAGATTCAGACTCAAGAATTCGCACGTGCAAAGTTGCAATGTATTCGGTTTTACTCTGTCATAATATTTGTCACTCACATAGCAGTATCCATATCACTTACATATCGTTCATGAACTCTCACAGCTTCGACTTGGAAAGCTTTCCTCAATCTTCGTTCTCTGATCACAGTCAGTGTCAGACTGTTCTTCTCAACACATCTCCCAATCACCTCAGATCCATTCAAAAACCTCACCAGCCAATGTCCAATTTTTTGCCGCACACCTCATCAAGCTCAATTGGAGGGGAGGCTCGTTTTCTTATGAATACTCACCTTGTAAGGCTCAATTATTCTTTGCAGTACATTATCCTTACTCATCTTTGGCAGGATGTAAACTATTCTTTATTTGAGTCCAAAGGTGACTCTGACCTCGCCCTGGAGGCAGCTAAAGCGAAATGGAAAGTATGTGAGGTGGAGAAACATCTGGCTGATTGCATTCTGGAACATTAATCTATACTCCTCGACCTGTGGCACCATCATGTGGAGGCGGCAAACTGCCATTTATTGAATGCGGATCTCAACGTTGGAAGCATGCACATGGAGCGCAAGAAGAGTGGTATTGCAGCATTCGCTTGCTCAGACTCAGGTTTGATGGTAAGTGCTCATTTGTTGGTTTCATTATAACTTATCACCATTGAGATGGTTGCAGACAACCTCTTGACATTCATCTTCGTCACACACAATCCTGGCCACATCAAGATTTTTATTTTTTTCGCACTTCTATTATGATATTATCTCGAGCCTACTAGTATATACTTTGTTATGTTTTTTGTCTGTTTGTGCTGCTTGTATCACTTTGCAGATATTTGTAAAGCCAAATGCTTGTCGGCTTGTGCTGTTTGTGACGCTTGTGTAGATATTTTTAATGCCAAATGCTTGTCGGCTTGTGTGCTTGTGACGCTTGTGTAGATCTGTATCCGTTTGTTATTGTTGTGACACTTTGTCACGAAATCAGTAGTTTGCTGATGTGTAAATACGTTCACACTTGAGAGTCGATAGTTTGAATAGACTTATTTCAGACGAGAGAACTGTCCGAACTAAATGTTATTCGGGGGGGTAAGATCAACTACTCTAACAGTAGTAAACGGACGGTTTAAATACTGTAGAGTCAGGAACACTACAACAACGGCATAGTTTACGCACTGCAGGGTGGTGAGATTTAACCATGGAGGGACGTGTTCTGACAGATCAGCTTTAAGGACAAAATGACTTTGATTCATGTCTCTGGCTGCATACAAGAATAAACAAAGGACTTGTCAAAATTTTCAAGCTCGTGATTGCCTAGCTAGCGCAGCACCAGCCACCATACCCACATTCAGTCCTCTCATCAGATTGATACGATAACCATGCCTGGCAGTAATGAGAATCAACCACTTACGGGGCCGACTGTTGCAGCCAAAAAAAGTAGAGCTGCACCAAGCAACCCAACAACAGCTTCTGGCCAGGTCGGAACAGTTCGACCACCTGTGGCAGCCAAAACAATGACTCCAGCTTCGAAAACCTTGAATAAAAATCAGACCAAGCAAGTCCTGCAAGAGAAGAACACGAAACTTGAGGATGAGAATTCTCGTCTCAGAGGTGTGGAAAATTTTTCTTACCGGTGCCATTGGTATTTTGAATAACGAACATATATTTTGAGCAGCAAAGATCTTGCAACTTGAGGAGGCTGAACGGGCAGCAAAGCTCATGGCCACGGAAGCAGAAGCTGCCAAAAAAGTTGCAGAAGAGAAGATCAGAAATTCCCGTGTGGATCCAATGCACGAGCTCATGCAGAAGCCCACAACTGCCGAAATGAGAGACTTGGGCAGCAGAGGTCGTCTGCTCAAGGCAATGAAGCTTGAGAATAACAAAGCAGAATATCTGGCCATTCAGGTCAGTTGTTTGGAAAACGAAAAGACTTGACAGCTTACTGATGACTACACAGACCTCAGTTCACGAACTGTGCTCGCGCGTTGATCTGGACTTTGGGGTGTTGTACAATGCACAACCAACATCGAACCTGGCAAAACTATTTAAATTGGTGTGTCAGTATACTGTCCCGCTGTAATGATAATAACCATAAGTCATAGGCACGACGGGCCCATCCTCACCTTGAAAATTTTCAGAATGATTGGGCGACAGCGGAGTTGGTCAAACAATTTCTGCAGAACAAACGAAAGGCCAACAAGAAGCGAAAGGCACACACAATTGCAGGCACTGAAAACAATAAACGGAGTCGATCTGACTAGTGCTGCCGAAGTCCGGTTCGGTTCGGTTCTTGGGGCAAATTTTCCGAACGCCGAACCGAACCATAGGTTCGGTTCAGCCATTTGGTCGAACCCTGGACCGAACGTCACCGAACGCGTTCGGGAGGGTCCGGTTCGCGTTCGAACCAGGTTCGACTAAGCTTGGACCATCTGTGGTTGTATAGGCTCGAGACCATGAGTTGTCATGTAATTCGAGTCGGACAGACAACGAAAAGACTCTAACGCAAGGAGAACTTCTTTGTACAAAGATTGAATTCAAGTTTCTAAAATAAACACATTTTATTTGCCCGGTGCACATAGTTCCCTGATCACATTCTCATAGATCCTCTTCTCTAAACATATCTCAAACGCAGCAGCATGTACGGTTGCAGTATTCGAGATTGCAAGCGTGTCAATCTTCGCTGCAGGATTCTCTGAAAGGCGGAAAGCCCAGAGAATAACAGCCGTATTGATGAAGATGGACCGATTCGCGACATGTTGACCAGGACACACTCTAGTATTTTCAAGTAAGGCATGAGAAAAGGTGGAGAGATGAACGATACCACTCACCGGCGGCCAAAACCAAAAGTGAAAAACTTGAGATCAGTGATCACCGCGCACACGACCTGCATCGTCGCGCGATGCGCAAAGCCTGTAGTGAAAGGTGGTCGTCCATTATCGCATCATCACAACTGAAATAAGACGTACCTCCAATAGCAGCCACTGTGACACTAATCCCATCAGCTACCCCTGACAGGTCTCCACCTGAGACCCTCGAGGATGAACACGGTAACTTGCGGCATAGCTTGAGCTCGAACGAAGACCGACAGACTCACGAACTGCGAACGGTGGGCAACGACTTGTATCAGCATGGCTGTTGCTCGAACGAGGATCGACACACTCACGACCTGCGAACGGTGGCCAACATCTTGGATCAGCACGGCTCTTGTTCGAACGAGGAACGGTGGCCTGGTCCGCCAACGATTTGGATCAGAATGGTTCGAGCTCGAAAATCTTGACATACTCACTTCCTGCGAACAATAAGCAACGACTTTGATCAGCATGGCTCATAACATTCCCAAGTAGTACTTACCTATATTAATCATTAGCAAGAGTTCAAAGTGTTTGGAATTCATATAGCGACATAAGATACCTAGTGTTTGAACATGTTGTGACGGTGCAGTACTGTGTCACAGCGCGTCACGACTGCGGCAGGCGCGACAGAGGACCGCGTCAATTTCACCCGGCTCAAACCTGCGCGGGTTGCAGACACATGCATTTGCATATATTGACACATAGTAAATACTTACATCTTTTTAAAAAAGTGTAAAGCGTACAAAAATTGAGAGGTTCGAACCCGTTCGAACCTATTCACTACCAGCCCGAACCCCGAACCTCTGGAAAGGTTCGGTTCTGAGTCTTGGCCGAACCTTGGACCGGACCATGCGTCCGGTTCGGAAAGGTTCAGGTTCGAACCGAGGTTCGGAACCGGACTGCGGCAGCACTAGATCTGACGACTCAGACAACTCGGACGGAGATGAGGTAGGAGACGGAAGTGGATCTGGTGAGCGTGGGATAGCAGATGATGATGACGAAGACTTTGGCGCTTGCTGAGTGGATTTTGTGCGGAAGTGCATGACTGCCGGCGCCATACGCATGCGCAGTTAGCTATAGCGGTGGTGAAAAGTAACATTTTCACTAGTTTGACAAACCACTTTAGAGTCCAATGACATTGGTTTTTATCACTCATGGAAGTAGTGAATCAGACTGGCTAAGCAAGTGAGATTCAACAAGCGTGTTGGTGAAAGGAAACAATGTAAATTACCAACTAAATGAGTGATATGTGCCGTGGGATGCACTTGTTGGTGACATGGTGAATCCGGCAAAAAATGTAGTTTTTTTAACTGTAATAAATCACCTGTAGGGTGGGTTGTTATTACCAATCCCCAGTGATGTTCAACATATAATACGGTGGATCTGACTAGACTAACGGGTGATGGTACCAGTGAAATTAACCGGTTCTGGGTCGCATAGTGTTTAAAGCTAACAGCGAGAATATTGGTTCCCATCGCCAATATTCGACGACGGCTTTTGACGAGCGTTACAGAAGTACTACGGTGATGGACGGAGAGTTGGAACAGAGACGTGGCAACGCAGACCAGTACATACTTCCAGTGGAGTTCTCGCAGATAGACCAATACAGACCAATGCGCACGGGCCGCAAACACTTCCGGGTTTCCAATGCCCCTCGTGAAGTTTATGGCCGTTTTACAGCGTCACACAGGACATGGATTCATCGGAGAGTACTATGCTTTATGATTCGCACTAACTGAGCAGGCTACTGTCTGCTCCTGTGGACAGCCACGTCAAACCCAAGAGCACATATCACGCGACAGTCCGTTATTCACATACCAATACATATGTTGCGAGAAGTATCCCGTAACACATACTCAACGAGGTCCTGGGTACGGAGAAGGAGATAGAGGCACTAGCGAAATGATTGTCCCTGCTACGACTAGTTAGTGGGTATATAAATGTATAACTGTTGAGCTCTGTCGTAGTGCTATAGTCTAGTCCAGTGGAAACATATGTAGCCACCTGTGAAAGCAGTAAATGTTTTATTCTCCCAAATCCCTGATTAGTGGGTAGATTCGCCGCTCGTGTCCGAACCACTCCGAACCGCTCGGCATCTCACGGTATTTCCACATAAATTTACCACACAACGCTCTTCCATCTTGCCTCAACGTCCTGCTCGACGACCACGACGTGCATCATGCTTGCTCACTCTGCAGTCCGTGCTTTATCCGCAAACTCCCGTGCCTTCTCTTCGTCCGTTGCAAGACAGACGAAAGTTGCCGTCCTTGGCGCTGGTGGAGGCATTGGACAACCATTGTCACTCCTTCTCAAGACTGACCCTCTCGTCACCTCTCTCAGTCTCTATGATATCCGTGGCGCACCCGGTGTTGCAGCTGATGTAAGCCATGTTGATGCTTACAGTGAGGTACGTCGTTACTTGCTACACACGTTAATTATGGGTTAGTTCAATCAGCTTCCAAGGTCAATGGTTACCCTGCAGACAAGCTCGACGAAGCCCTTGACGGAGTCCAAGTTGTTGTTATCCCTGCTGGTGTCCCAAGAAAGGTGTGTTTCCTCTCCCTATACTCATACCTTTGCATAGTCCTGACCCTGCCTTTCAGCCTGGTGTAAGTCTTACAGTCCATCTGTTGCTGCTCCGCTCTAATACCTTTATAGATGACCCGCGATGATCTATTTAATGTCAGTTATTCATGCCTTCCATTGCATTAGTCGCTACTAATTCTATTTCGGAAGACCAACGCTTCCATTGTTCGCGACCTCGCAGCAGCAATTGGTCGTGTCGCCCCTACTGCTCACATTCTCGTCATTTCAAATCCTGTCAATTCCACCGTTCCCATTGTTGCCTCTACCCTTCAGAAAGCTGGCGTTTACAACCCCGCTCGCTTATTTGGTGTAACGACCCTTGATGTTGTTCGTGCTGCTCGCTTCACCGCTGGTATTGCAGGGGTTAAACCCGCAGATACTCCCATAACTGTTGTGGGTGGTCACAGTGGCGCGACCATTGTGCCTTTGCTCTCACAGAATGCATATGGAAAGGCTATCACAGGCGACATTTACAAGGCTCTTGTCCACCGCATACAGTTCGGTGGTGACGAGGTTGTGAAGGCTAAAGACGGTGCTGGTAGCGCCACCCTTTCGATGGCATATGCTGGTGCCAAATTCACCAACTCTCTATTACGAGGTTTAAATGGCGAGAAAGGTGTCATCATGCCTACCTTCGTCGAGAGCCCTCTTTACAAGGACCAGGGTATTGACTTCTTCTCGTCCAATGTAGAACTTGGTGTAAGTAATGGAACAAGAGATCCTCTTCATTCGTGCTCAATACTCCGCAGGTCAATGGTGTCGAGAAAATTCACCCTCTCGGGCCTCTTTCCGCTGAAGAAGAGAAGCTGATGGAGGCATGCTTGCCTGAACTCAAGAAGAACATTGAGAAAGGCAAGGCGTTTGTTGAGAGCTCGTAGATTGATTCGTTTTAGATTTGTTGTCCTTCAAAATACTTTTGCCATATGCACGACTGTTCAAAGCTCGCGCATACACGAGCATGTCTTAGCAGGTCTAAAGCCTCCTTCCCAGGTACTGAGGCTGTCAAGTTAGTGTGCACAGGGTGTAGCGAGCTGCCAGATGATTGAATTTGACGATTACTTTACACAAACTTTACATTCACGAAACTTGCATAAGTCGACTGCCAGGATTTAAGATTAGTACGGTATCGTTACGCGATGTGCCGACGGGCCACGGCCCTGAGTATAAGGCCCGTGGCGCGTGTGATATTGTGCGTTCTATCCTGCTTATAAAACTCAAAAACAAGGTACCTTGAAGTAGTCAAAGACTCTCGACCCTTGCTTGGCTTGATTGACATGTTACTTTATCATGGTGCCGTTGCAACCTGATGAGTCACGGATCGGAATATTCTGCTATATATTCTGCCTACCATGCATCGGTGATGCTAGCGCCTCCATCATCTTTCTGAACCATGGATTTACAAACCTTCATTGACCTATCAACCAGCATCCAGTACCAGGATGTAAGTGATTGATATTTGTTGACGTTTTCGCTTCACTCATCTACAATCCTGGCACTGACAGTATTTTTTCGGTGCTATCATTTCGACTATAGTAGTCTCTCATAGCTAACAGTGTTCGTACTAGTGTCGCTAGTGGTTTCTTGGGTGCGCACGCTTGCCATTTGCTCAGTCATCATCCACAAACATCTAGTCATAGGTCTATGATTGTTTCCTGACCTTAGACCGAGAGGTAATTTCACTTTTGCGAGATATAGCCTGTCAATCGATAGGTTAACTGTCGTGTATAGATATCTTCGATTCATTCGCCACCGTGGAAGATAGGAAGTATTCTTTATGTCATGACGAGATACATGCCAGCCTTCGTGCTCTGTATACACTTATGCAGTGAGTCCGAATAGCATGCTCTATCGTCAACTTGCAGCTAACCAGGATACGGAAGTGAACTATCTCCCAAATGAAAAAATTGTGGTGAGCATTTGTCGGAAATAATATCACCGTCCTGAGGATTCACCGATGTAGACTTGCAAACTTCTACATTCAATATGGTTTCGTAAGTATTGTAACAATGCAATTGGTTCCGCTCCAAGTTCTTTCTTCAGTTGCTGCTGCATTGTGCATAGCTGGTGCAGAAGGTATTACGAGGATTATAGTGTATTCACGCAGAACACTCACAGGATCTCCAGGTATCTTCGTCCTTCGCACCTATGCATTGTGGGGAAACAAGAAATTCATTCTGAGCATCATGTTGTCAACGGTGCTTGTGCGCATACAGTCGCGTCCCCGCATTCCGTACTCTGACACACTTCACTTCAGTGCTTTGCGGTCTTGGACGTGATAATGACAATGACGATTTCCAAACGCTTGGAACGTGAGTGTCTTTCAAGAGCCGCATGCAAATAGCTCAGTGTGGGTCGACAACAGTTCAACTATCAGACATAGGTGGCGGTTGTTACTCACTATCTCGCGACACGATGTCTGCATATCCTTGGACACTTCTGGTAGCGTTCGAGCTTGGTGAGATCACGAAGCTATACGTGTAGTCGAGTGCTCACTTTTTGCTTCAGAGATCATAGCACTCACCATGATTCGTGTATATCGGGCATACCGCGAAAGCGAGTCTCTGCTGCTTGAAATCCTTCTACAACATAATATTTTTTACTTCGGAACTGGGATAGGCAAGTAGGACCTTTATGGCTGTCAAAAAGGAATTAATCATTTAATCCTAGCACTATCGGTGGTCAATATTGTAGTTATTGAATGCTTGCCGGTGCGCACAATCTGAATTCAACTCAATATCGGCTGAGCGTCCTGATGATATCTCACGCAGTACACCTCTTCAAATATGTTCGGGACATTTCAAATCGTTATGCATACGATCCTCGTTACTCGGATGCACCTACAGTTTTGTAGCACCAATGAGGTTCACGACTCATCTGAGTCCGGAACCACGCCATTCTCTCGATTGACACATGTTGAACTTCAGACGTGTTCGCACTCGAATGTATGATAATTCAATGAAACTTTCATTTTCATTCAGACATTTTTCCTGTTGTGTTGCCATGAGTCTAAGCTGTTGTTGGGCCATGAGGAAAAAGTGACAACCTGGTGCTAGGCTAACGAGTGAGAGGTCCACAGAATTCCTGGAGTTTATGAATGAAGTTTCTCAGTCGAAAATGTGTGATCGTGATTCGACCTCTGACATAGATCACAGCATCTGCAAAACACCCAACTTCTTGCTTAAGTTGCTTAAGGTGTCAAAGAAGTTTGATGGGTTATGATCTGCACCCTGAAGTATGTGATTGGTGGAGATGGTGAGGTAAGCAGTAAAAGATCTGCAGTCATTGTATCTTAGCCATCTTATCTTCTTAGATGGTATTATCAATACCAATGATTCGTTTGGAAATATAACTAGTAGCACAGAACACCATGAACTAAGAGGAATCTCTTGTTATGTGTAGAGTAGGGATCAAGTATAGAGTAGAGTAGAGAACCATAATGTCAGCATGGGTTTGTGGATTAAGTAAATCTTGCTCTGTTCATAATAGGGTTTAAAAGTCCAATTAAGTTCAGTCTTTTGACCAATTTTCAAAAGACCAGACCCAAACTGGTCTGCGCAAACTCAACCTTGTACTGCAACCCAGACTGAACTCTTAGAAACTGGTTGAGTGCAGTAGCAATGAGGTTCACAGTTGGTTGCTGACTGGTTGCAGATGCAACCAGTCTGTAACTGCATAGGACTGGTTAAGACTGGTTAGGACCACTCCAGAAGTCTATATAGGGCAAAATCGGTAACTACTATACAACGTGTTTGCAGGCAGGATAGCATGAGTATAGCATGGTAGCATAGTTTGAAGCCTTTCCTCAAAACAAACCAACATCTGCCTGCCTTGAAACAAACCTTGTAGTTTGCCATGTCAAGTCAAGGCAATGTTCGGAGGTCTTCATGCAAGTAAACAATAACAGCAAAGGCTCTTGCTGGCACTGAAACATGGCATGCAACCCAGACAGGCTCTCGTCCAAGGCCTCCCAAGTCACCAAAGAATTCTAAACGGAAAAGATGGATGGTCACTGTCAGTGACAAAGACCCTGATAGCAGCAATGAGAGCCTCCATGAACATCAGTGTACCTCAAAGAAGAAGAAAAATGCCAGCTCCAAACATAGTTGGAAAGAGAAAAGCACCACAGTGGGGATTGAAGAAGTGCATGATATTGAAAATGTCACGGACAGCGAGGTTGAGGTCATTAACCACAAGTCTGATGCCAAGAGTGGTGAGGAAACCAAGAATGATGATGGTGAAGATGCTGTAAGTGAAGCGCGCTGTAAAAAGTTGCTGTCAGCTCATACTAAGTGTGATACCAAAGGAGGGGAGTGATCTGGGTGTACAGCACAAGGCCAATATTCCAGCTCCATTGGCAACAAAGAAACAGCGGGCCAATGATCTACTTACCGTGTTCACACAGAAATGCATGGTGAAGTTTGTTGGTATTGATGGTGCGGTGGATATGAAGAGAGGGTGCTGGTGCATAGTTTGCAAGTAAGTTAGTATGAGATACATTGAGACAGAAAACTTACCATACATTCCAAGGGACAATGAAATCTTTGTAAAGCAGAATGGGAAACATAAAGTGTTTCACCTAGGCAGTAATTTATTGTGTCATCAACATATACGTGGCCACTATGAGTTCTACCAGGCTAAATGTAAGGAGCTAGGGATCACTGAGCACCACTATGCAATTCCTCGCGAGTTGTTGGATTTACAGTCCAATGGATTAAAAGGAAAGCAGATGAAGATAGATGGACTGTTCCAGAAGGCTGAGAAGAAACAAGAGTTTTTGAGAGATAGTGTGTTGCATGCAGTAGCGGAATTTATTGTTTGTGATGATCAAGTGAGATTTTTCAGTGTGTTGTGATCACAATGATAACAGTTATCAGTCTCTAGTGGTGGCAAACAAGACCACATTTCGAAACTGCTTGGTTGCAATGCATCCAGCATCGACTACAGCAGAATTACTTTCGACTCATGATATCACAACATATACATATATTCACAATGCATTCATCAAGCTCATTGAAAGTGTCAAGGCTGATGTAGAGGTAAGTTTTTTCATACATGTGAATGCATTTTCTAATGTAATCTAGTCCATAACTACTGGTCGTGTCGCTACATCTACAGATCTCTGGTCCATTGACCAAATGAAGGCATCATTCCTTGGGCTCACCACACACTGGATTGAGGTCAAGAAGAACAAATGGAATCTGCGCTCACAAGTTATAGCATTCCACGGTGTCTCTGGTGCCCATAGTGGAGTGAATCTGGGAAGATACATAGTTGGCTTGTGCGAGCGGGTGGGTATCGTGTCAGGACAATCTACAAAGGTATGTCTTATTATTTTTTGCTTGCAGTGGCTACTACTAACTTCATATACTGCACAACAGCTATTCACTGCAACAGCTGACAATACAAGCAATAATGACACTACATGCGACAAGATAGAGCATGTTCTACATCGTCACCACATCTACTCATTCAGCTCTGATCAATACCGTCTCCCCTGCCTTGCTCATGTTCTCAATCTCGCTATTGTTGCTATTATGCTATCATCTCTCACATCGCCACTGTGGAAACTACTACTGCAATCTGGGGATTTGATCCATTGCTGTCCAACAATTGAGTCTTGGGAGGCTCACTATATGTTGTGGCAGCTGTGCACACTATTGCAATTAAGGTGTGTCTCACATTTTTTCTATTGTTATTCATAAACCTAATGATCTAATAGATACAGTGCTCGAGTCAACGAATCAAATACTTTCAGACACTTCAAGTGAAGTGTGGGTTCAAGACCTCACTCAAGATACCTCTGCATAGCAACATATGCTAGGGAACAGCTGATGGTATGCTTGAATGTGCATATCTCTTGCAACAGGTAAGCAAAAAAAATTGATTTCTAACACTACATCACTAATCCATTTGCACAGCCTATAAATATGTTTATCAATTCTGCAGACGAGCTATTCAGCCCCATCACTACCATCTGGTGTTCTGGACTGACAAAACACATTCCCTGGAGTGCCTTCGCCTTTGGGAGCAGTGACTGGGACTGTGTTGAAGATACATGTGTCATTATCTCAGTATGTTCATTTTTATAGTATCTACTAATACTAATACTTCCACAGGACGCTAATGAAATCCAGCAGTATTTTTCTTCCAAAAGTCAACCAACTCTATGGTGTGCAATCCCTGCTTTTGAGGAGCTGAAGATGGCATGGGAACAGAAGTGCGACATGCCAAAGTATGATGTAGGGATTCATTTCTGGCTGGGCTGGTAGAGACTGTTTTTACCTTACCTTATGTTGGCATTTTTGTAGCTTACATAAGCAAGTTATCTTTTCACCAGTTACCAGTATGAGTCTGAGAGATCAGCAAGTTTCTATCATATTTCCTCTTCTCTGAGCCTTGAGCCTAGTCCAGAAACCCTTTAGGGTCGAATAGCAGCTAGGTTCTGCAAGACCCAACATTGTTCAGACTCACCATCTGAATTGTTGTACCTTCAACTGGAGCCCACCACGAGGGGAACAGTCAGCAAGATCTAGTTCTGCGCATCTTTGCACTTAGTGCCATTTCACACATATAGGTCAATCTCTTTGCATTATCACAAGCTAACCATTTTCTAGTCACACATTCTTGCGCCTTGCACACGCACAATAGTTCCCATGCCTCACGCACGCGCCTTTCATGCACTTCAATGCCTTATAGAATGCCCATCCGCGGCACAGCAAACGCACCCAAGTTTAATGGCACCATAGACAACCTCGCTGAATTTATTGACACATATGAGCAGCTTGCTGATGAAGCAGGACTCCAAGGACTCGACCGCATCAAAGGTATTATTTGCTACCTTGAGTGCGACAATCGAGAACTATGGGGAGGCATGCCCGAAGCAGCAGTAGATGATTACGACACCTTCTTAGACAAGGTGAAGGTAATGTATCCTGGATGGGATGGTAAAAGATGCTACACTCTTGCAGACTTGCGCGCCATCGCGCGCGAATACACTAACAAACTGATGCCCTCTTGCACAGAACTCAGCAGTTACTTGTGCTCATTCAGGAAGGTTATGCAGCCACTTATAGATGAAGATCATATTGGAAAGGCCAAACACGACCGCTTATTTATGGAAGGAATCCCTAGCGACGCTCAGGTGCAAATTTGCTTGTGCCTTATGATCAAGTTCCCTGAGCACCATCCATACGACCCATACCCATTCATGGATGTCTTCACAGCTGCACAGTTCCTATTACCTGCATGCACTTTTCCCGCACCAAGCGCGCCAGTGAGCACACCCATGGTAGCACCAATTGCAAACTTAGTCACAGCACAAGCACCAGTGCAAGCTACAGTGGCTAAGTGCAAAGATCGCTATCATGCGAGCCGCGCAACCCAGGATACAACCACTGCTAGTGCGGCAGCTGGACTCTTCTATCGCGCATCCTCAGATGTTGTACTTGACAAAAGGGCACCAGTTCCAATTCTTGTGCCTCGCACGATTCATGCACACCTGAACCATCAACTGTGCCAGCATGCAAAGCCATACCTGAATGTATCACTTTAGATCACAAACTCGAGCGCACACTCGTGAAGCGCAACCAGAAGCGCACTACAGGCGCCTCTTTGCTTTCATCATCAGCACCATCTGCATCATCATCTGCATCATCATCTGCATCATCATCACCAATCACATCACAAGTCAGGGATGACTCTAAACATCTATTGCACACTAATGCACTGCTAGAAACATGCGCACCTATTGCTGTCACATCACTAGTCAGAGATAACTCTAAACATCTATTGCACAATAACGCGCCCATTGTGGAAGTTATTACACCATCGCTCGAAACACTCTCGCCTACTGCATTGGTTAAGGAAGAAATCTCGCCAATCGCACCATCGCCATCACCACTATCGCCATCACCACTATCGCCATCACCACTATCGCCATCACCACTATCGCCATCACCACTATCGCCATCACCACTATCGCTGCTCGCATCGTCAGAGGTCAGGGATGACCCTAAACATCAATTGCGCTGTAGAAACAACAATACAGAGAGGAACAAATGAGGCTCCAGACTGTATCTAAAAAATGTTGTAGGTTGTGCGTTGCCTAGTCTGCATTACTTGAGGAGACAAGCGCGTTCGACCCTAAAGGGAAGCGAGTGCAGCAAAGATCTACAGGTATGCGCTGAAGCGAAGCATGAGAAAGCGCAGATGCGCGCAAGGCGTGGGAACATGCGCGCGTATTAGCGCGAAGCGCGGGAAAGCGCACGCGCGTATGCGGAAATTGATAAAGACTAAGCTTAAGTGATAATATGATGCAAGGTAGGAGAAGAGAGATGCAAAGTGTAGACAAATAGATTTCTACTATACTCTGCTAAGTAGTAAGTGAGTAGTAGGAAAAGTAAGTTGTAAAAATGGAAAGTTAGTTGAAAAAGTAAGTAATAGTATGTACTGCTGGCGCTTATATAGCGCGCCTAAGCGTGGTCATGCGGAGCTGAAGCGCTACCGAGTAGGTATGTAAGATATATATGGGTGAGAGTCCATGATAAAAATAAAGATGGAACAATATGCAGATGAGAGAAATAGAAATATACGCACTAGAGAATATGGTGGACAGTGGATGGATGCATCTGGATGGCTGGCGCTATAGGGCGCTCAAGCGTGGGAATGTGTGCGCGCGTATACATTGTGAAGCGTGGGAATGGTGCGCGCATGGCGCGCATTGCGCGGGAAAGTTGCGCCTCATATAGGGATAGCTGCGGGTAGCGCACAGAGTGACACTACAAGTTCGTGCTATGTACTCCTTGGTGGGAACTGCCATATCACGCCATGAGAGGCATGATTCTCTACAGCGCCTTAGCGTGCCTATAGAGGAGCCTTCTGCCTCATCAGAGGCTCAAGTTGCACCTTGCATCAACCAGAGTTTGCCTCTGGTAATTCCAATTGTCACTAACAATCATGCGCACATCGCGCTTTTTGCTTCCAGTGACTATCGCTTGCCAGTAAAGCATCCATGCATCACACTGCCCAACCACCAAGCAGAGCTTGTCTCAGGCGACCCTGGAGTGACTCAGACGCACCATATTGGGCTTGAGGATGCGCAATGCATGCACCTAGAGGCATTGTATATTTATTTTCATCTCATTTCGCACTTTTTGTCTTTTTCATGTTGAAAGCTCTTAAGGAGCTATATGATGCTTCTAAACACTTTGTTTTCATCTTCACACCACCCCTTGTTCATGCGCCATGATCGCGCGCATCGCACGGTAATTCCCATGCCTCGTGCATTCACCATTTTAGCAAAGTTTCCACACTATTGCATTTCTATCGCTTCTCCCCTTTTAAATCACATTTCTGACATTCCACACAAGGTATATTACAATCAGCCATTCAGGCACGACTTAGACGTGCACCTGACACATACATATGCGCCTAACTCCCCTATCATCACCTTGAACTTCGCACTTCCCACATTTATTCACATTCTTCGCGCTTTTGCTTACCATGCCAATTTCGTTCCTGTGCACCCTGACACACATTATTCTCTTTTGCCTATGCGCCTATTGCGCCTTGATATACCACCCCTACAGCCCATTTGTGCATCATTTGCGCCTAATTCCGCGCTATATATGTCTCTTGCTAACACATTTGCAGAGAAATGGTTGTTCCTCGTGTGTTCGGCCAATATAATCAAATTCGTGCGAA